GTGGTGAGTTTGTGCGTGGTTTAGGTACGCGGGTGGGCGAATGTGGACAAATATGAACAGCACATCAAGCAAGAAGCTTTTTGGCCTAAGCGGAGCCAAACCCTCAGGATTGCGTGCATCTGCCACAACTGCCAGCGAAAGGCAAACCTCCGATCGCGGTTTGCCTTTTGCTGGCAGCTGTGGCAGATGTACGCAATGCTGAGGGTTTCCTCCGCTTAGGCCAAATCGTTTGTGGCGTACATGTGATGATTTTGTTCGGGTGGTTTTCCTTTTACCGGCAGCTGTGGCAGATGTACACGCATCGGAATTACGAGTTCTTTCTCCGCTTAGGCCATATCATTTGTGGCTTTATGTGATGCTTGTACTTGACACCCCTTTGCCCTACCACGGCCCCCCAGCGTACGTACGCCACGCACAAAGGGGGACCAATATATAAAACACTCCGTCGAACCACAAACAAGTTGGCCTAAGCGGGGCCAAACCTCAGCATTGCGTTGCTCTGCCACAACTGCCAGCAAAAGGCAAACCTCCGAATTTCGCTGGCAGTTGTGGCAGATGCACGCAATGCTGAGGATTTGCTCCGCTTAGGCCAAATCGTTTGTGGCGTGGATGTGATGATTTTATTCGGGTAGTTTTCCTTTCACCGGCAGCTGTGGCGGATGCACGCGATTCGGAATTCCGAGTTCTTTCTCCGCTTACGCCATATCATTTGTGGCTCATGTGATGTTTGTACTGGACGCCCCTTTGCCCTACCACGGGCCCACCAGCGTACCTACACCACGCACAAAGGGGGGTCACATGTAAAACACCCCGTCGAGCCACAAACGATTTGGCGTACAGGAGCCAAACTGAGAATTGCGTGCATCCGCCACAGCTGCCAGGAAACGGAAAGCCGCGGAAAACACCGCGTTAAGCCACAAACGATTTGGCCAAAGAGGAGCCAAAACTCAGAATTGCACGTACTGTATCTGCCACAGCTATCGGGAAAAGCAAACGCGCTAGGGCGGTCTTCCTTTTCCCGGCAGCCATGGCAGATGCACGCAGTTCATAGTTTCGGCTGCTCTTAGGCCAAATCGTTTGTGGCTCAATGGGGTGTTTTTCTTCGGCCCCCCTTTGCTTTACCACTCGCCCACCCGCGTACCTACGCCGCACACAAACTCGCCACCAATCAACACGAGGTAAATACATTGTGGTGTTCCCTCCTTTTTTCTTGTCTCCCTCTTCCGTCTCTGGTTCTCCTTGTGTTGCTCCGCGACCAACCAGTATGGTTTTGTTGCTCTTCCTGCCTCCCAACACCATGGCCACCGACGTTCCTCGACATCCAGTCAGCCGATTGAGTCCTGGCAAGTTTACGTTATTTATCCCTCGCCCCTTCCTCCCTCCCCTCAAAATTTTACACCAGGTTCCAGTCGATGCTGCTGTTGTTCCTACCCCCCGGCGCCACCATCCTCGAGGTTTTTCCGTACAAGTACTGGAAGGAGGGCTACGCGCCCCTCGCGAAGGAGTGGGGCGTGCGGCACGAGCACATCATGTCCCGCCCGGTGTCCTGGGAGAAGCGGCTGGCGCTGTTCTTCGTTCCGCTGGTGAGTTGAGCCGTCGGGCGTTTGGGTGTTTCGGCACATCGCCTCTCCGCTTTCCCTAGGCCCTAGGGAACAACATCCTCACAATCAGGGTTGTGCTTGTGCCCTGAATAAGGGCGGCATCGCGAGCCCTCAAAAACGTACGTTGTTACGCAGCAGTGTATTCCCTTGTAGGATACCCTGTTCCGGATAAATCAAGCTGGTCTTGAGCCCTCCCCACCCCCA